ACCCTGATTAGCCAATGGGAAGGGTAGCGGTCGTACGCTAATTACCATGTTTCTCTTTTATTAGATTAGACTAGAAGCCTAGCACGTGAAATCGCGAGGCCACGCCCATCCACGCCAGTCTTTGGTCGTACGGCATTAGGGCCACAGGACTTTTATAATATAGATGGCATGAGGTCATATCATGTCAAAATGTAAGCAGATTTTTTCTGTGTATATTGCATTCGTGGAAACAGTATTTGTTTCTTTTCTCTAATTCTAAATATTTTCTGGTGAATTTCATGGTAAGTATTTCTGCCTGAAGAGTTTTTTTAAAGTATATTTTTATTGATTTCAGAGAGGAAGGAAGAAAGAGAGAGAGACAGAAACAACAACAATGAGAGAGGATAATTGATCAGCTGCCTCCTGCATGCTCCTCACTGGTGATCGAGCCCGCAACCCGGGCATGTGCCTCTGACTGGAATCGAACCTGGGACCCTTCAGTCTGTAGGCCGGTGCTCTATCCACTGAGCCAAACCAGCTTGGGCTACCTCAAGAGTTTTAATTTTTATAATAAAAGCTTATGAATATACAGGTACTGATTTACCCTTTCACTTTAATCCCTGCATCTTTTACTGAAAACAGATTATTTGGCTAAATGCTGATTTACAGATCAGCAATTGCTCTATTGACTACACAGAATGCTGAGAACTCAACACCACCTAGCAGACTATCATTTTACACTAAATGTCCCTGGATTATACTGTAAACATGGGAATATCTACAAACTCACAACTACTTTCACTCTGTCAACCAATTTTCTCTGAATATTTTTATCTTTCCACTTCCTCATTCTAATTTTCCTAAATCTGTCTTCCTATCCTCTTCTTCCTATTTTAGCTTTTTATTTCAAACTTCATCATTGGCATTTACTAAAGAGCCAATTTAAATTATAAAATGAAGGCTAGGCTACACTAATTGTTAATATTATATATATGATTATAATAGTGAAGTAGTTAGTCAGGACATTGTACAAGCTACATTACTCAGCTGTACATAGAATATTTAAATTGAATGGTATAGGAAAATCTGCTATATTCCAGGGTAATCTTTTCAGCATTACTTTAAATATAGCAGATATATTTATCCCACATCTCTTATATGCATTTGAAAACATATGTGACAGGTAATTCTGTATTTTGAATTCTGAAGATTTCTTCAGCCCATTTCCCCACCTCCACTATTGTTCCAACTAATCAAAATATAAGTCCTCTAGCTAGCTTAGTATGGCAGGTCTATATTTAATGCGAGCACTAAGATTTTTTTATTGATCTCTCTCTTAAGGAAGCACTTTATAATTTTTCTGTGTAAATTAAGCTTCTACCCTAAAATATTACAAGTATTGTTTCTCATTTCATTTTTAAGCTCCTAGTCAACCCTCATTATGATTCATTCAAGAGGGAACAAACCAATCAAACTTTGTAATATTGTTGGGAACAGGATAGTTCCTGTAGTTGTGAATATATCCCATGTAGTAATTTCCTCCATCTATTTTTAAAATAATCTAAAAATGACTGTAGTAGACTTTAATGTGTCCCCTGTTATACACTCAGAATTCATTGTTTTAATAAACAAAATATTACTGAATACCTTATATGTACAAAAGCCCAAGTTTTACCATTTGACAATTTTTAAATATTTATTCTCTGCTCATACAACTTTCTGATGATTCTTTTGATATACATGGTAGGAGTTATAGTTAACCTGAGCCACTTGTGTGATATCTATTTTTAACAACTAATTCTAAGTCAATTGTAGGAGTCAGAGAGGAAACTAAAGACTGAGGAAGTACTGTATTTCCTAAACATCAAAAGGTGAAAGTTCAAAAAGTATCTTTAAACAAAGATAAATGAAACACGACATTGTAAGAGAAAAAAACATAACATAAAAATTATTTTTATAGTTATATGAAATAATGTGAACAGGTACATTTTCTAGATGTAATGCTGATTGACATAGATAAATGCTACCCCTTAATGTTTTTGCTATACTTAGTTTTTTTTTCTTTTTTTCTTTCTTTCTTTAATTTTCCCCCTTAAGTGCTCACCCTGGTTTTCCAATAGATTCTAAGACCTGCAAAGAGAGGGGTCAATTTCGTTGTTGTCATTCTTCTTTCTTCTAAAATAGTGGCAGTATGGCAAATAGGGACATAGAATCTGAGTAAGAATTTTATTTCCAATATTCCTAAGTATTTGTCCTTGAGTTGGCTGTCTAACCTTAAAGAGCCTTAGTTTCATCATCTGCAAAATTTGGGTAATAAAATCTATCTTGTAGAATTGTTGTGAGGATTAGAAATGATGTTTACAAAATCCTAATCAAGGATCAGGTACTCAAAAATAGTAGTTTTTACTATAATTATAGTTGTCTGCAACTTCCCATACATAAAGCCTGTTATATCTCCATACACTAGGTACTCAGAGAATCTCAAAATGATGGCCTTACTTCCTTCCATATGAAAACATGTTAATAGAGTCATGGAATTATAGGCATACATTTCACTCATTTTTAATTTTTTTTTAGTTTATTGAATTGAGAGAGAGAGAGAGAGAGAGAGAGAGAGAGATTTGTTGTTCCACTTATTAATGCATTCATTGGTTGATTCTTGTATGTGCCCTCATTGAACTAACAACTTTGGCATAATGGGATGGGACTCTTAACCAACTGAATTGCCCAGCCAGGGCCTCTCCATAATTCTTATAAAAACAGTTTTATTGATATAGAATTCGTACACCATACAATTCACCTATTTAAAACGTGCAAGTCAATGGTGTTTAATATATTTACAGATAAGTGCAACAATTACCACAGTCAATTTAGAACACTTCATCACTTTGAAAAGAAACCTTGTATCTTTTAGCTATCAACTCCCAGCCCATCAGAGCTAAGAAACCACTAATATATTTTCTGTCTCAATGTATTTCCTTATTTTGGACATTTAATATGAAAAGTAACATAATATGTGGCCTTTTGGACTGGCCTTTTAAAAATTTATTTTAGAGGGAAAGAGGAAGGGAGAGAAACATTTATTTGCTGTTCCACTTATTTATGCACTTATTGATTGATTCTATTATGTGCCCTGACTAGAATGGAACCTGAAAGCTTAGTGTATTGGAAGGATGCTCTAAACAACTGAGCTACCTGGTCAGGGCCAATTTCACTCATTTTTAGAAACTAAGAAGGAATTATAGATACTACTATTTATTTTTTAAATTTCAGTATAGTTTGTATACAATATTATATTTGTTATATTAGTTTCAGGTGCACAATATAGTGATTTGACATTTTTATACCTTAAAGTGTGAGCATTCACTAATTCTAGTTACCATCTGTCACCCTGTAAACTTATCACAATATTATTGACTATTTTCCCCTTCACCTTCTTTACCTATCACCCCACTCCCTCCTTTCTGGTAAGAATCCTTTTGGTCTCTGTTTCTATGAGTCTGTTTTTGTTTTGCTTTGTTTGTTAATTTGTTTTAGATTTCACATGTAAGTGAAACCATATAGTATTTTTCATTCTCTGTCTGATTTATTACCATTTTTATAACACATTCACTTATGCAATGTTAACTGAAACAGGAGCCTGAAAAAGTAACAAAAATAGAAAATAAACAAAAAACAAACAAACAAATAAACCCCAAATTTTCCATTTCTTATTTTGCAGGTTAGTTTTGTTTTGTTTTGTTTTAAATCAGAAACTAGGGATAATTATGCTTGCATTTTATATTTAGTACCCTTTTAATTTAAACATGAAACAAGACACATTTTAAAAGGTGGCTATTATTCATTCTATTCAACAAAATGCAATAAAATATCAAGTTGTCAGACTTGAAATTAAATATAGAATCTTATTGTATTTGTTATTTTCTGAAGAACATTAGTTCTGTGAAGATATTGCACTACTTTGGAAATAATTGCAAGCTCTTGTTTTATAGTTTTATGATTAACTGTTGCATTTCTTATAGAGTCTTCCAATTTCCAGTTGTGTGTGTGAATATATAACACAGAATTTTGACTCTTGCATCATTTCCTACAGGCATCAAAACATTTATATGTGTGATTTGACAAATTTTAGGTGGATTGGTTTTATTTCCTACACAGTCAACTCTTTTTTATTTTATTGATTTTTTTACAAAGAGAAAGGGAGAGGGATAGAGAGTTAGAAACATCAATGAGAGAGAAACATCGATCAGCTGCCTCCTGTACACTCCGCACTGAGGATGTCCCCTCAACCAAGGTACAGGCCCTTGACCAGAATCAAACCTGGGACCCTTCAGTCTGCAGGCCGACGCTCTATCCACTGAACCAAACCCTACAGTTAACTCTTAATTACAAAACCCTTGCCTCATTGTTTTGGCAACATGGGGCTACTACAGACTGAAAAATAAAGTGTAAAAAGGTAGGACTATAGAAAAATTGGTTCTAAGAAGGGTTCATGGTAGATATGTTGGCTTCAGAAACTGTTCCCTATTCTGTTTGATAAAATTCTTATGTAAAACCATTCCTTTATTCCAGGTTTGAATTTTTGAGCTTGCTATCATTACATCAAGGTTCTTTTTAACTTATCTTTGAGCATATAACAAGAAATTGACAGCAAGGAGTTAGGGACCAATCTTCTATTTCTTTCAGAAAACAAATTTGGAGTAACTCGACCCTTTTATAGTACACTGTAAACAAGTTTACCCTGACAATGTCTTGTACTACAAAGTGAGTACTTCAATTAAAAAATTTTCTGCCATCAAAGTTTCTATTAATAATTTAGCCAACACTAATTAAAGGGTTTTATCCCATAAGATAAGAAAAAAAGTTACAAAATTACGTAAAGTACCCTATTTATGAAAATTAGCTTTAGATGCATACATTTAAATGTGACTTTAATATTATCCTCATAATTTGGAGAGTGTTGCAAATATATCTGCTTTTTTGAATAATACTTTCTAAATTAATCAATTTATTTCTGTTACCTTTCATAGCATCCATGCCTCCCACAGCATAAAGTGCCCCCACAGTTGATTTTCTAGGCTTTGTCCGAGGGCTTTGCATCATAGGTCTTCTTTCAGGTAAGAGATGATACTTCATAGCTTCTATCAGAAGTTTCTGACATTCAAGATCACCAGTAAGTATGGAACTATTTTCAAGATCTGCCAGTAACTGAAAAGTAATGACACATGGTATATGAGGTGAAGAGCCCCCCATTAGAAAGGACATATTTTTATTTATATAACTTTGGAGAAAACTCAAGCTAATTCAAATGTATATCTGTTATTATTTAACATTTTAACTTATTTAGTAACATAGTTTATGTTCATTTATTATTTAAAATGATTTAAAGCCTCATGGTATTAGCTAATGATCTATGAAGATTTATTTGACATATTCATCTTTTAAGTATATATGCATATAATCTCAAGGAATGAAAGAGCACTCATAAAATGCAATCAAAGAGAATGGCTTTGTATACACAAAGCAAGCATCTCTCAGTGTATGGCAGTGGTTCTTTCTCAACCTTCTGTGCCCTTTAAATACAGTTCCTCATGTTGTGACCCAACCATAAAATTATTTTCGTTGCTACTTCATAACTGTAATGTTGCTACTGTTATGAATAGTAATGTAAATATCTGATATGCAGGACGGTCTTAGGTGACCCCTGTGAAAGGGTCGTTCGACCGCCAAAGGGGTCGCGACCCACAGGTTGAGAACCGCTGGTCTATATGGCATGTAGCTAGAGAAGCAGTCATGTTTTTGGTGGATTTAGGGGAGGTAGTACAAACATGTCCAGTTAAAATAAAATAATATTACCCATAGGAGGTTGCATCTTTATCATTAAATCTCTTTTGTAAAGTATTCTGAAAGTAGGTCTTTTTAAAAAATTATTTACATGTATATTTATAACATCAGTAAGGAACTTGTGTTAGTAATAGCTAATACATTAGCACTATTAGGTGAGTAATACTTCTAAACATTACTCCCTGGCAGTCAATAAAACATTTATTGAATGGGATAAGAGCTAGGTAAATTATTTTCCTGAAATGAGTTGAGAAGTTAAGCTTTGTTTCAGAATTTTGCCAAGGGTTATTTAGATTAATTTCTTTGAGTTTTGGGTCCACAGTGTCATAGGGAGGAATAACAAGCAGATTGTTGGAGTGGAGGTGCTAGCCTCACTCCATAAAACTTCACAGAAGTTTCCTGTTCTGTACTGGTTAACCCTAGCTCTGTTCTTGCTCCACCTGTCATCGCTGATAGATCCCTGTTTTGACTTAGCTAGTGAAACCCCAGGCATTTTCTCAATTCATACACTTCTGAAAATATGTTTGAAAACTGGGCTATATAGTTGTTGCTTTCAAAAAAATATTCTTCAGAGATTTATGACCATTTAAAAATATATTTAATTTCTAGGGTATTTGTTAAGGAAACTATTAAACTTGTTTTGGAAGTGTATATTCTGTATGCTATTGCCCACCACTACCATCATTAGGAAATGTTTCCAATGACCGCATTTTAGGCATAAGGCCTACTCAGGAGCGGGAGGCCAAGGAACCGCTGGTTTTGTGTTTGGGCTGGAAATTTCCCCACTCCAATAAAGTAAGGGAAGTTCAAACTAAGCATCTTGCTGAAAGAATATCATATAGACTTACAGCATTGTACAGTTAAAGGGTTCTGATCCTTTATACCAGTGCATCTTAAATTTTTGCATGTTTTAAAATCATCTGGAGAACTTGTTAAAACAGATTTCTGGGCATCACCCCCTAGAAATTATTTCAGTAGGTTTGTTGTAGGGACGTGAGTGACTGAGTTTCTAACAAGCTCCCGGGCAAGGCTATGTTTCTGGTCCAGGGACATTTTGAGCAGCACTGCTTTAGAGCATCAAATAGACCATATCATGAGAATAACACACACACAAGTATATATACATTCACAAGAATACATACATTTTTTATAGTTTCTGAACCTTGGGTCTACCATGACATATATATTTTAATGTTTCTCTTTTTGATGTTACTATTGCCTTGCCCTTTGGATAATGTCGCTATACCCAGGAGGCTAGTCAGTGTTTTTTCATTAAATACAGACAGATTCCTAAGAACAAATATGTAGTTCCATGAGATTTAATTAACAACTACAAGTTAACAAGCTAGAGAAACCATAAGTTCAACATTAACATTTAATTAGTAAGTTTTTGAAAATAAATTAATTTTAATGTTTATGAAACTACTGCCTCACTTAGTACAGATAAGGTCCCTCCTTCCAAAGTGGATGATATTTGAGGACTTTAGCTACAGTCTATACAGTAAATGAAGTGTGTATATGTGTAACATATTCATGAATATATAATATGTAAATTATATATACTATCAGCCAATTTGCTACACAGAAATAATTGTGATTATCACCAATGGTAGAATTATGTAGAGAGAACTGCACTCTAACCTCATTAGATTTCACATACTAAAATTCAGTATGAGGTGGGTCAATCCTGAATCTTATCCAAGGGTGTGTTTTTTAAGAATGATTTCTACTATGAGCCTTTAGCACAAATGTGGAGATGTCATTAGTATAATATTGCTTTAGTGCATCTGATACTACTATATAGTACTCTTTCGATCCTTGTAGCTAATTATTCATGTTGGTAGAATCTAACTCCTTTCTACAATCCCCTCTGGTATGCTCTTATACTGATTATTATCACCTTGCCTACAAGGTAGGCAGGGAAAGAAAAAGTTAGCCTAGTCACTTTTCCTGCTTGTTATAAGTTCTGTTTGGTGAGAGCAAACTAAAACTAATGAGGATGCTCATTAGATAATGGGGATTATCTGTAGTTTTCAAAAATCATTGTTTCCTCTCTCTTATCATTAATATTGCTGATTAAAGACTGGGTATGTCCTTCCGCCAAACAAATCCTGTACATTACAATTACCCAAATTCCTCTGAATAAAATAAAAGGGAAAAATCAGGAATGGATTAATGACAAGTGGTAGTTTGAACTATAATTATATTACTGGTAAATGTTCATACCTGTGGTGGAAGTAATGGCAGTCTGATGTAAGTAAGCAACTTGGATAGTTCTTGTTGCCTAGCCTGCACATCATGCCCCACCCAGTCCATCAGAGCATGGAAAATGGTTTCTTCATCAGGCACGTTAATATCGTCACTGCACAGAAGTTTGGAGATTTCATTAGCTGGAAGCAGGAGGAATTCTTGGTTCTTTATTACATCGATGAAGTGTTCCTAGAAAAGAGAGGTCATCTACTGAAACTTTGTTCTTTAGAAACTTCTTTTTTTTTATTTTTTTTTTATTTTTTTTATTTTTTTATTTTTTTATTTATTTATTTTTTAAATATATTTTATTGATTTTTTACAGAGAGGAAGGGAGAGAGACAGAGAGCTAGAAACATCGATGAGAGAGAAACATCGACCAGCTGCCTCCTGCACATCTCCCACTGGGGATGTGCCCGCAACCCAGGTACATGCCCTTGACCGGAATCGAACCCGGGACCCTTCAGTCCGCAGGCCGACGCTCTATCCACTGAGCCAAACCGGTTTCGGCAACTTCTTTTTTTTTTTTTTAATATTTTTTTAAATTTATTGATTTCAGAGAGGAAGAGAGAGGGAGAGACAGAAACATCAATGATGAGAGAGAATCATTGATCGGCTGCCTCCTGCACGCCCCCTACTGGGGATTGAGCCTGCAACCTGGGCATGTGCCCTTGGCCGGAATCGAACCTGGGACCCTTTAGTCCGCAGGCTGATGCTCTCTCTATCCATGAGCCAAACCAGCTAAGGCTCTTTTTTTTAATTTTGTAAAGACCATTATAAACTGATGAACAAAAATAGATACAGAGGCAAAGCAGCACTGAACAGATTGTCAAACTACAGAGGGAAGGCCGGGGAGGGTTGGGTAAGAGATCAACCAGCTAAGGCTCTTTAGAAACTTCTTAACAAAATAAGCATATCAAAGAATTTCACTTTTTGAAACTTCACAAAAGGCACGCGCGCCTGTGTGTGTGTGTGTGTGTGTGTGTGTGTGTGGAGAGAGAGAGAGAGAGAGAGAGAGAGAGAGAGAGAGAGAGAGAGATATGCATTTATAACTAACAGGTGCTATTGCTGCCTATGGCAAGGGGCATGCAGAAGGCTTCTGAAGTTGAGGAGCCAAATGCTTCTACTTGAAATTATTTAAGAACCCAGGAATGGCCCTAACCACTTCAGAGTTCATATTGACAGTATCCAAGTTGATAAGAGTGCTTTTCTCTTTCAGCTGTTGTAGGTCACAACAGCTTATAACTCCAGAAATGACTGATGTCACACTGGTCTGTTGGTCTTTAGCCAAAAACCTTAAAAGAAAGGCTGAAAATTTTCAAGTTGGAGGCTTTTTTGGATGCTTGGGAGAAGTAGGTCTGTCTGTCAACACAGAAAACAACCCACTGAATTTCTTTGAGGTGAAACAAAAGATTGATGAAAAAATATGTTCTCCTATGGAAAAGCATGGTCACATATTTACCAAGGCAAAGGTATCTTTTAGAATGGATAACAATCTGCAGTTTCCAAATAATATAAAAGAGTCTCCCATGTTTTTTTTGCGGGGGGAAGGGGGGATGAAATTATCTTTCAATTTTTATATAATATGCCTCAATTTTCTCTTCTGTCAGTGTGTTGTCTTGTATTTTGTCAAGCATCAAATTTCAGGCAGCCTTGTTTCAATTTTCTTTTATTGAAACACCACTATATATTTTTCCAATTTATAATGTTATGTATTTTTCTTTAACAACACAATGATTGCTTTCAACATTTTATAGTAAAGATCTCAATTTTTAAATGCAATTAAAAATGCTTCTGAAATGAAGATAAACATATCTAGTTGGTAATTTACATTTTACAATAAATAAATATTATTCTGGAAGCAGTTTAAGACGGCTTCTGAGTAACTGGATAAATCATATCACTTCTTCAGCTCCACTCTGAGTTTAATCATTGTGGAACTGAGTTAGCCTAATAGCAAACTTATCCATACAACAACTATCAAGTTTGACAGACCCTTCAAGAAGCTCTGACACCATAAATGGAAGTTAACTTGCCTATTTAGACAAACTTCCCTCTTGTGACTAAGGCAAGCAATTCAGAGACTCAGGTCTTTACATGTAGCAGATGACCTTGTTTGAAAAGTCTTTAACCTATAGCAAAATAGTGGAGCTAGTCCTACAACTAATACATTACACATGTATAACACTTCAAACTTAACGGATTTCTTTAAAAAATATTGTCATCACCAATGTGGTCTTGTGAGGAGTAGAATTATTCTGATAGGAAAACAGGCTGTGTGAATTGTTTGGTCTCCTGTGCAGTAAATGTCAAAGTATAGGCATATCTTGGAGATATTGCAGGTTCAATTACAGACCACCACAAAGAACTGAATATCACAATAAAGCAAGTCATTAAAAACTTTTTGGTTTCTCAGTGCATATAAAAGTTATATTAAACCACACTGTAGTCTATTAAGTATGCAATAGCATTATGTCTATAAAAACAATGTACATACCTTAATTAAAAATACTTCATTGCTAAAAGATGCTAATCATCATCTGAGCCTTCCTTGAGAAATAATATGTTTGCTGGTACAGGGTCTTGCCTTGATGTTGATGGCTGCTGATTGATCAGGCTGATAACTGCTAAAGGTTAAGTGGCTATGGAAATTTCTTAAAATAAGAAAACACTGAAGTTTGATGAATTAATTGATTCTTCTTTTTACAAATGGTTTTTCTGTAGCGCGCAATACTATTTGCTAGCAGTTTACCCACAGACCTTCCTTCAAAATTAGAATAATTTCTCTCAATCCCTGCTGCTGCTTCATCCACTAAGTTTATGTACTATTCTAAATCATTTGTTGTCACTTCAATATTTTTTAGTCTTCACAGCATCTTCACCAGTAGATTCCATCTCACAAAACCACTTTTCTTTTCTCATTCACAAGAAGCAACTCCTTATTCATTGAAGTCTTGTCATAGGACTGCAGCAATTCAATCACATCTTCAGGATCCACTTCTAATTCTAGTTCTCTTGCTTTTTCACCACTTTCCCAGCTACTTCCTCCAATGAAGTCTTGAACCCCTCAAAGTTATTCCATGAGAGTTGGAATCAACTTCTTCCAAACACTTAATTTGATCATTTGACTTCTTCCTATGAATTGGCTCATTGTGTAAAACCCACTCAATGGTTAATATGGGTCGGATACAGTCAATAAAATTGAATTATGCCTCTGAGAAAGTTAAGAAATGATTAAAATGGTTTATATGATGGTCATATTTAAATATATATAGAAATTAGATTTTTTGATAGACTTTGTTATAGCTTCAGAGTGGCTGCCTGATGCGATCATTGAGAATAGCCTGGTGATATAGGTAATTAGTGTAAATAAAAAATAAATTTACTGGTTTGAATTATCTAGATGTGGCATTGGAATATACAGTACTATAGAGAACATTTAGTTAAGCTTAAATATTAATTTTATGTTGTTTTATTTTGGAATTATTTGCTCCTAATTTCAATGGAAAACTTTCTTCTATACTCATTCTTAAGAATATTTTTTGTACCTTTGGTTTGGTATTCATTTTTTTAAAATCTACATTTACATTGTTGTAAATTTAGCATACTTGCTGAATGTTTCATCAATGTAGATTACTGTTTATATAATTATGGTGGTTAATTTTATGCATCAACTTGACTGAACCAGGAAATGTCTAGACTTTTGGCTGAACATTCTGAATGTGTCTATGATGACATTTCTGGGTTGGGCCCATACACATTAGGGAGATTAATCTGTTTTACATATACTGTGATTCAAACAATTGTAATTGAATCTTTAAAATCACTTGTGTTTTTATACTATTAATACAGTATTATAAAAAGAGCTTTACCAATTTTACTCCATTTATAATATACACTAAAATAGCTAAAGAAGAGGAATTAAAGAAGAGAACAATATTGTTTTTATGCACATCCTGCTTTAAAAATCACATAATAGGAAAAGGAAGAGCAGTTGATTTTGAGCAACAAAAATAATTCAAGCTGTTTATCAGCATGTGTTTTGTCTGCAAAAGTAAGATACCATTTAAGTAATTTAACAGGAAGTTTTCCATGTTTGGTTTTTAAGGTAGGATTAACCTTTAAACTACATAATTGCTGTTCTGATAAATTATGTGGTATCTATATTTAGGATATAATAATATAAATAGCATAACTAAATGACATATGTTAAAACACCAATCCATTATAATTCTCCACATAATGCCATTGCTTCTGGAATATGTTTGAAACTTCATATTTCAAAGTTGACCAAAGATGGAAAGACGAGGGGGGAAATTTTACAATAATTTTTTAAAGAATTCAAATCTTAGAACTTTGGAAATTTTAAGGTCAGTATAAAACTCTAGAAAAATAATCTTCATTTATATGCATCTCAATCCTAAATTTTAATGTTAATTTTATCTTATTCTTAGGCATATTTTTCTCTACTCTTCACTTTTATATACTTGCCTTTTAGTATTGAATCTTTATTTTTTTTTTACTGTGGCAATTTTCTTAGCTGTAAATATTTATTTTTTGATTGTTTGATTGTCACAGAAAGATCCATCTCTTATGTTGTTTCCTGCTTCAGAGGTTAAAAAGTTGATTTTCTTCTTTACATTAGGCAATTGGTATCCTGATAATGGTAAGAGTATGTTTACCATATGTCTACTTTTTCTTGCCTCACTACAGATGATCAATCTTTCATGTCACTTTCACTTGTCTGAATAAACATAGTCTTATCCCATGCAACTTTCAAAGAATTAGCATAAAAGAATGTGTTTATTCAATTTATTATAATTACTAATAGAATTGAGAGGTGGTTTAAAATTAATTAAGTTAAGGGATTGGACTACAAATTGCTTTTAACCAAAATATGTTTTCATTAAGACATAAAAAGTCCATACAATAGAATTTGTCTGATTTACTTATTTTATAGTTCTTAAGCATTCCAATCAATATTAATCCATTAATTTTTTTCTTTATTGAATATTTTCATTATAAATCATAATTTGCACAAACTTAAAAATTAAAATTCTAATAGGGCAAAATATTAGAAAAATTATATTTTCTTAATAGTGTGGATTTGACTTGAAATATATACTTGTATAATTTAATTTGGGGCAATATTTTCATTTCTTCAGGCTTTGAGATTCAAGTAAACCTTTTTTAGTTTCAAAAACGAGAAACTTGATTGAGTACAGCTCAACCCGACACATATTTTAATCTAATGTCTATTATTTGCAAGTCACTTGTAAATTATATGAATTTACATTGCCTTTTAATTTTATCCCACACTAAAATATTTATGTGAAAAGTTTTATAAACACATAGGTATATATATATATATATTTATGTATACATATATATATATATATATTTATGTATACATATACATAAACATATCAGCAAAAAATCAGTAACTTAGATATTGGGTTAATACATTACTATAAATTAGTTTGAATCAGTTGATTTTACCATTGTGTATTTATGTGCCACACTCAGGAGCTCTGTACAACCCTGGGCGTCTCCAAATGATCGAATTCCTAAGCAGTTTGAAGGATGGAGCTGCTTTATGAGAAAATTGGAGCAGACGTCAATAACTTGAGTCAGTTGCAGGAGACAAGCTGCAGCTAGCAAACTTTCGATAGTATCTTCTTTCAGTTGCAGGACACCTAGATGGTTTGAAAAAGTAAAGAATGATTATGTCTCATAAAGTAGGACACAAATAAGCTAGCTAGTTGAAATTTTCACTTTCTCTCATTAGTGAGGCTATATTTTCAAGAGTACAGCAACCATCGTTTAAAGCCAACATATACAAGAGAGTTTGTATAAACTCTAATAAGATGGCTGACAGAGGCTAGGCTAGATTATCAAAAACCACTGTAGCACATGAACATTGAATACTATCATTGCAAAGAAGAGCAACTTATTTCTTTATCTTAGTCCTGCATCTAAATCTTAAATAAAAAACTGTTCATATTATGACTTAAGGAGTATAATGCAATCTTGTATAAGGGTAATACATTGGCCATTATAGGCATCTGTCACTTGTGGGAAAAACATCTTAGTACATAAGAACACTGAGCTTATGTGCCATTTTGTCATATGTATTTATTAGCTAAGAAGGATAACTTGGCCTAAATATTATGCCTGGGATTGATACCTGATACTGTCTCAAAAAAAGAGAAAATGTTGCCAACAATCCTTAAAATAAGAATTGCTTTGTATTATTATTTCATTAGGTATAAGAAATAGGTTCTATTTTAAAAATATCTATAAAGAATCTTTAAAAATGAAATCAGAGAAATTAAACTGTTTCATTTATATTGATATATCTGTATTATTTTGGAGCAAATATTATATGAATTATTACAAATGTTATGTTATTTTGATAAGTTAAATTTCCACTTTTTTGCTTAAACCAAGCTATAGGTAAGTAATAAATATTGATATTTCATATGGATTTTATAAATTGTATAAACTGGCCTTGTAAAATACTTTACTATTATTTCTATATGTTGCAAAACCATAAAGAAAAGAGTAATACATACCATGAGATGCTTTATATTGGGTTTACCCTCTAAAATATGTTACAAAGGGGTCCAGTCCATCAGCAGATTGTCTTGTGTTGTTTCTTGTCCTGGATTTTGAAGGAAGAGCCCTGCCTATATTTCATGAGACCCAGAGAAGTATGAACTATTCTGTTTCAGACCTAAAGATTCACCTGCTATAGACATTGAAATCTGGCCTAGATATTAGGATATTGATTTCTAAATAAATGAAACTCTTAGAAGAAAGCATAACAAAAAAGCTCCTTGATAGTGGTGTTGGCAATAATTTATTAGATAAGACACCAAAGCATAAGCAAAAAAGCTAAAATAAACAAAAGGAACTACACAGCAAAGAAAACAAAAAATAAACTGAAAAAGCAACCGATAGAATGAGGTAAACTATTTGCAAAACATATACATGAGATGGGGTTAATGTCCAAAATATATAAAGGACTTATACATTTCAATAACACAAAATCAATCCAATTAAAAATGGGCAAAAGACATGAATTGACATTTTTTTTCAAAGAAGATATACACATTGCCAATAAGAACATGAAAAAATGCTGGACATCACTAGTCATCAGGGAAATGCAAATCAAAACTACAATGAGATATCACCTCACACCTGTTAGGATGACTAATATTAAAAACAGAAGGGATACCAACATTGGTGAGGCTTTGGATAAAAGGGAATCGTGTATTGTTTCTGGGAATTTATATTGATACATCCATTATTGAAAACAGTAAGAAGGTTCCTAAAATATTTAAAAAAATAGAACTATGTATGATCCAGAAACCTCACCCCTGGGTAAATATCTAAAGGAAAGGAAATTGGATCTTGAAGACATATCTGCACTCTGATGTTCATTGCAACATTGTTCACAAGAGCCAAGGTATGGAAACAACCCGTCTTTTGACAGATGAATTGATAAAGAAAATGTGTACATATGTAAATAGGTTTATATATATAATGGAATATTATTCATCTATGAGAAATATGGAAATATTGCCATTTGTGACAATATGGATGAACTGGAGGACATTATGTTAAGTAATTAGCCAGACACAAAAAGTATAGTATCACTTGTATGTGGAATAAAAAATGCTGATTTCATAGAAAAAGCAAGTAAATTGGTTGGTGCCAAGGGGTGAGAGTTAGACAAGGTAAATGTAGGTTAAATGATACAAACTTTCAGTTATAAACGTTCTGGGGATCTAATGCACAATGTAGTGACTGTAGTTTATGCTAAGAGTGAATCTTAGGTGTCTTCACCACACACAAAAAGAGAACTATTTGAGATGATGTATGCATTAAATATCTCAATCTTTGTAATCATATATACCTCAAATCATCACACTGTAAAGTGACAAATTTAAATATATACAATTTGTCAATTATTCCTCAATAAAGTTAGAATGAATGAATGAATGACTATATACATAGATAAACATACATACATATATGCATACATACTATTTGGCCCCAAAACACATCCTGTTATATCTGTTTTATAATTTGAGTAAACATAACTTAAATATTTCAAATGAAGAGATTGTACATATTTCAAATGTACAGTTAAAAATATCCGACTTCTAGTCTCATTTTTATAAATGAGAGTATACCCATATTGTGAGAGAGGAGAGAGAGAGAGAGAGAGAGAGAGAGAGAGAGAGAGAGAGAGAGGGCTCTATTCTCTTATGGTCATATTTTTTAATATCATATTTCTTACCTCTTGCTCTTTTATTAATATATTGAATTTAAATCCTGGTTCTGCCCCTTATTACTTTAGAAAAGTTATTTAAGTAGTCTATTCTTAATTTTTAACTTGTAGAATAGGAATAATAATAATGTGAGTTATATAATATGGTATTATTGTAAGGATTAATTGAGTTAATATATGCCAAGTACTTACCTGTGTAAGCATACTGCACCAAGGAATTAAGTGCATTAGGATCAACTCCTTCCATCTTGACCTCTTCTTGTTTGGCTTCAAGCAAATCATTAGTAAACATTGCAGCAAAATAATCAGACATGGCACTGAGAACCAACCTGGAAATAAGAAGGTTTTGTAAGAAAATAAATCAGTCCATGATCTTACTGAAAAACATGAAATACAGTCAGAAAGTTTTTAACACTGGTGAGACTCTTTTTTTTTCTATAAAACTTTCACAGTTCAGTAAAGCTAGTGAAATTAGAAAGGCAAATAGTAACTTGATATTCTTTTAAAGGATTTGTGATGTTTTTCTTCATCAATTTTTCAAGTTTGGATCTTCTAAATATCCCACAGGGAAGTGAATAATAAACGGTAAAGCTTTTGAAAAAAAAAGTATCTTTATTGTTGAAAGTATTACAGATGTGCCCCTTTTTTCCCATTGACCCCCTCCACCTAGCACCTACCCCTACCAGGCCTTCACCACACTATTGCCTGTGTCCATGAGCTATGTATAAAGGCATATTAATTTCCCCAGGTAATCTTTCCCCACCCACACCCACCCACACCTTCCCTCTGAGATGCCTCAACCTGTTCCATGCTTCTGTCTCTGGATCTATTTTGTTCATCAGTTAAGTTTGTTCATTAGATTCTACATATGAGTGAGATCATGTGATGCTTATCTTTCTCTGACTGGTTTATTTCACTTAGCATAATATTCTCCAGATCCCTCCATGCTGTCTCAAAGGGTAAGAGAGCCTTCTTTTGGACAGCTGCATAATATTCCATTCTGTAGATGTACCACAGATTTTTTATCCACTCATATACTGATAGGCACTTGGGCTGTTCCCAAATCTTAGCTATTGTAAATTTTGCTGCTATGAACATAGCGGTGCATATATTCTTTCTCATTGGTGTTTTGGGTTTATTAGGATATATTCCTAGATGTGGGATTACTAGGTCAAATAGCAGTTCCTTTTTAAACTTTTTTTTTAATTTCATAGAGGAAGGGAGAGGAGAGAGAGATAGAAACATCAATGATGAGAGAGAATCATTGATCGGCTGCCTCCTGCATGCCCCCTACTGGGGATCAAGCCCATGACTGGGGCATGTGCCCTTGAATGGAATCAATCCCAGGACCCTTCAGTTCGCAGGCCAACGCTCTATCCACTGAGCTAAACCAACTAGGGCCCTTTTTTAACTTTTTGATGAAACTCCATACTGTTTTCCATAGTGGCTACACCAGTCTTCAATCCCACAAGCAACCCTCTCATTCAACATAGTACTGGAAATCTTAGCCACAGTAATTAGACAAGAAGAAAAAATAAAAAGCATCCAAATTTTAAAGGAGGAAGTAAAGCTGTCATTATCGCAGATGAGATGATACTGTACATAGAAAATCCTAAAGAGTCCGCCAAAAAACTACTGGATTTAATAAATGAGTTTGGCAATGTAGCAGGATACAATGCAAAATTAGCAGTATACAATATTAACACCCGGAAATTGTCATTTTTATACACCAATAATGAAGTCTCAGAAAGAGAAACTAAAAAAAAGCAATTCCATTTACCATTGCAACAAAAAAAATAAGACATTTAGGAATAAAATTAACTAAGGAGGCAAAAGACCTATACTTGGAAATTTATAGGGTGTTGAAAAAAGAGAGAAAGAAAAATATAAACCAGTGGTCATGGATTGATAGAATCAACATCATTAAAATGTCCATACTACCCAAAGCAATCTATAGGTTCAATGCAATCCCCATTAAAATACCAATGGCATATTTCACAGACCTAGAACACACACTCCAAAAATCTGTATGGAATGCAAAAAAAAATGCTAAATAGCTGCAGCATTCCTGAGAAAGAACATAGTTGGAGGGATTGCAATACCAGATATCAATTTATACTACAGAACCACTGCAATCAAAACAGCCTGATACTGGCATAGGAACAGGCATACAGATCAATGGAACAGAACAAAGACCCCAGAAATGGACCCAAACCATTATGCTCAATTAATATTTGACAAAGGAGGAGAGAACATAAAATGGAGTAAAGATAGTCTTTTCAATAAATGGTGTTGAGGGAATTGAATAGATATGTGCAAAAAATGAAACTAAACCACCAATTTACACCATACATAAGAATAAATTTAAAATTGATAAAATGACTTAAATGTAATTCATGAAACCAAAAAATCTTAGAAGAAACCATAGGCAGCAAAAGCTTGGACATCTCCCATAGCAATATATTTGCCAGTACATCTCCTAGGGCCGTGGTCGACAAACTGCGGCTCGCGAGCCACATGTGGCTCTTTGGCCCCTTGAGTGTGGCTCTTCCACAAAATACCGACTTCTGCGCATGGGCCACGAAGTTTCAACCGCACTGTATGTGCGCGCCCGCACGTGGTATTTTGTGGAAAAGCCACACTCAAGGGGCCAAAGAGCCGCATGTGGCTCACGAGCCGCAGTTTGCTGACCACTGTCCTAGGGCAAGGGAAACTAAGGAGAAAATGAACAAATGTGACTACATCAAAATAAAAAGCTTCTTCACAGCAAAAGAAACCACCAACAAAATGAAAAGTGAGTCCACTGTATGGGAGAACATATTTTCCAATGATATATCTGATAAGGGGTTAATTTCCAAAATATATAAGGAACTCATACAATTTTACAAAAGGAAGACAAACAATCCAATAAAAAATGGGTAAAGGACCTAAATAGACACTTTCCCCAATGGGATATACAGAAGGCTAAAAGACATACGGTAATGCTTTTTATTTTATTTCTTATTTTTTCATAGTTTTTAAAAAATTTTTATTAAGCCATTACAAATGTGTCTTTATCCCCCCATTGTCCCCTCATCCCCCAGTCTTGCCCTCCCCCTGACCCCCTGTTGTCTGCGTCCATCGCTTATATGCATGCATACAAGTCCTTTGGTTGCTCTCTCTCCCTTACCCCCACCCTCCCCTACCTTCCCTCTAAGATTTGAGCATCTGATAAATGCTTCCCTGTCTCTAGATCTGTTTTTGTTCATTGGTTTATGTTGTTCATTATAATCCACAAATGAGTGAGATCATGTGATATTTCTCTTTCTCTGACTGATTTATTTCACTTAGCATAATGCTCTCCAGATCCTTCCATGCTGTTGCAAATGGTAGGGTTTATAGGATGATAAAAATCTATTTTCCTGTGTTCCAATTTGTAATCAATGAACTGATTCTTTTTCATTCGTGCTTGTTCATTCATACTCTAATCACCAAATGTTCTGTCTGCATAAGGATACGTACCGATGAGCTGGGATTCGGAGGTGTCCAACAATGAGGAACACATCACAGAGTTGTTTCTCTTTCAGGTAGTTCTGCATTTTATGGAGCGTTTTCTCTGCATGGTTTACAGCATGGAACTCCTCCTCTGGTATGCTGAGATTCATTTCTTCAGGATGTTGTGGATGTAATCTGAAAGGGGGATAAGAGTGAGAATATGGTTTCTCCTAGTGAGTGTGCTAATGTACAGTGGAAATTTAGGCACATCAACTCCTAAAAGAAACATTTTGGAGTACAGTAAACTAAACTTTTCACTCTGATTCTCAATAATTTACTATGATTGTTGCCTAATCTTCCATTCAAGTAAAGTGTGATGGTGTTTATATCAGGAATTTAACCATACTATGTATGGTGCAGCTGCAGGGCTAGTATTAATTGTCATATACACAAGCATCAACTTCAAAATGCTAGCATATATCTTTAATTTTTGTTGGTATTACAATAATGACATTAGGCATGATATTGTAGGCAGGATTCACAATATTTTTCAGATTTGATTATAACCTGAAGCTTCTTCATGGTGTACTCGTTAGAAATTAGAAGTATTTCTTGTATAATCTTAAGCTTTAGAGTTCCATGACATTCTCTATAATATGTTAAACCTCTCAAGAAAATATACATATTTCCATCTTTTATATTTCTTTACCAGCTTTATTGATATATAATTAATATATAACAGCATGTAAGTTTATTTTACTTTTTATATACCCTTTTTAATCCTCATGTGAGGACATGCTGAGAGAGAGAGAGAGAGAGAGAGAGACGCTGATGTGATAGAAACATCGACTGATTGTCTTCTATAGGTGCCCCAACTGGGAATCGAATCCAAAAGCCAGATATGTGCCCTGACCGGAAATCGAACCAACAACCTATTGGTGCACAAGATGATGGTCAGCCAACTGAGCCACTCTGGCTGGGCAACATTGTGTAAGTTTAAGGTATACAACATGATGATTTCGTATGCCTAGATAGTGTGAAATGATTACCACAATGAGATTAAAATATCCATAACCTCACATAGTTACCATTTTGTGTACACATGGTAAGAACATATAAATTCAACTCTTATAGCAATTTTCAAGTATATAATACTGTACTATTAACTAGTCACAATTCTGTATATTAGAATCCCCCAAATTAAGTTATCCATCTTCTAACTGGAACTTTGTATCCTTTGACTATTTAGAACAATAGGATAACTGTTGATTTTACAACATTGAAATATGTTGATGTGTCTTTTCAACATCACAAAATGGTAGATTTAAATACTACCACAAGCACATAGAAATTTACAACCAGTGGAATCTTAGAAATTTGACGGTTGGGTGAGCATGCTTACATACTTTGCTTGTCACCTTTCTGGTTTCCATGCATCATTTTCCAACCACCAGACAGGATTAGTTTTAGGTTCCTTCACCAACAACTTGGCCTGTGTTGTTGGTTGTTTTTTTTTTAAGACAATTGGTCTGGGGTGGCATTATTCTTTTTTACTTTTTAATTCAAATAAAAAATTCACCTCTGAATCTTCTTAACCTTTAAAGACTCTGAGATATTCAGCCACAATATTGGTTGGCTAATCAGGGTAGGATGATATAAATTTTCTTTAAAATTACCTGCTACAAAATGCACTTGTTTATTTTTTATGTCTCTCTCTTTTTGTGCTATCTGTCCCTTATTTCTAGTTCCCTAAATGCCCTATGGTTTCACACTGCTGCATGGTGACCCAAAATCCCCTACTTTGACCCTCTCTATCAAATAAGAAGGGCCCTGGACTTCCCTATGAACTAAAATTTGCCCTGCTCTGTCTCCTGCTAATCATAATACTCAGCCCTCAAATGGTTCCATGGATCTGGAAGTACACTGGAGAGGTTAAGAACTTACAACAGCATGAATTAGTTACCTCTTGTAAGAAGTTCAGTATTTTAACAAAAAATAACTAAATCCAAAAGTTTGTACCTCTAATGGTGTTAAATTTGTCAGGCACACCAGAAGCTAGGGATGAGATTTTCCCTTTAAAGCCAAATAACTTAAATCAACAAAAGAGAAGTGCGGGTGAGGATGTGGAGCAAAAGGAACCCTCGTGCACTGCTGGTGGGAATGCAGACTGGTGCAGCCACTGTGGAGAACAGTATGGAGTTTCCTCAAAAAACTAAAAATGAAACTCGCATTTGACTCAGTGACCCTACTTCTAGGAATATATCCCAAGAAGCTAGAAACACCAGTCAGAAAGGATATATGCACCCCTATGTTCATAGCAGCACAATTTACAACAGCTAAGATTTGGAAACAGCCTCAGTGCCCATCAGCAAATGAGTGGATTGAAAAACTGTGGTACATCTACACAATGGAATACTATGCTGCAGTAAAAAAGAAGGAGTTCTTACCATTTGCAACAGCATGGATGGAACTGGAGAGCATTATGCTAAGCGAAATAAGCCATAGGAGAAAGATATCACATGATCTCACTTATTTGTGGAATATAATGAACAACATAAACTGATGAGCAAAAACAGATCCAGAGACAGAGAAGCATCGATCAGACCGAAAAACCTCAGAGGGAAGGTAGGGGAGGGTAGGGGGAGAGATCAACCAAAGGACTTATATGCATGCATATAAGCATAACCAATGGACACAGACACCAGAGAGGTGAGGGCATGAATGGGGGTGTGGGGGACAATGGGGGGATAAGGACACATATGTAATACCTTAATCAATAGAGAAAAAAATAAAAGTCTGAAAGACTGAGAAGAAAAAAGCCAAATAACTTAAAATAAAAACATGAGTCCCAGTGCAGGCTCTGCTGCTAGTTGACTATGTGATTTTGTACAAGTCACTTATTTTCTATGAGCATAGGTTTTCCTTTCTTAAAAACTGAATGGACTCCAGATCTTACAGCCCAAGTGCCCATCAGTAGATGAGTGTATAAAAAGCTGTGGTACATTTACAAATGGAATACTATGCAGCTGTCCAAAAGAAGGATCACTTACCCTTTGAGACAGCATGGAGAGACTTGGAGAGCATTATGCTAAGTGAAATAAGCCAGTCAGAGAAATATGGAACAAGTCTTTGAAAAAAAGCTCAGCATAAAGATTTGAGGTCTTCTCGGGCCTTTTCTGGGTATGGATCTCTGTGGGCTTACATGTGTGCTTTACCCCACTATCTTTCATATACATGGCTGGAGATATATATATTCTTAATTTCTTTAAATCTCACTTATATTTCTCCTGTGATCTCTAGATATTCTATTGTATTCCTTTACCCATACTCCAGATGTTTACAAGTCTGCATTCCCATTGCAATTTTCATGTGTTTGATGCCTGCCATTGGATTCTGTGGCTTCCAATCTGAGATACAAACTATACTACCATTCTCATCTGAGCTCTAAGTTAGGTAAATCAATGGTGCCCCTCCCTTATCAGCAGGGGATACAGTCCAACATCCCCAGTGGATACCAGAAACTGTGGATAGTAGCAAAACCTATACATACTATTTTTCCTATACATACATACATGCCTATGATAAATTTAATTTTAAACTAGGTACAGTAAGAAAAAAACAACAAAAATTAATAGTAAATTATAACAGTAAACTTTAATAAAAGTTATGTGAATATGAACTCTCTCTGTGTCCCCAAATATATTATTGTACTGCATTCATCCTTCTTCTTCTTCTTGTGCTGATATGAGATGGTAAAATGCCAAACTTATTCATGAATCTGCATAGCCTTTCCTTACTTACAGTAAATGGCTTGATATCCCTTGTTTTAAGGCAGTGGTCGGCAAACTGGGGCTCGCGGGCCACATGTGGCTCTTTGGCCCCTTGCCTGTGGCTCTTCCACAAAATACCGACTTCTGTGCATGGGCCACGAAGTGTCAATCGCACTGTACATGCACGTCTGCACGTGGTATTTTGTGGAAGAGCCACACTCAAGGGGCCAAAAAGCCACATGTGGCTCTCGAGCCGCAGTTTTCCGACCACTGTTTTAAGGGATCCTCTGCTGAATTCTTTGCATAGGATCAATACTTCCTGCCATCATAGGTTGCTGTCAATCACAACACATTTTCTGTTCATGTCTTCCACCCATTTAATTTTCCATTTTAACTTAGTACTTACCATGCAGTGTCTGTGGCCTTAACTTTTGTAGTTAAAGGTATAATAGCCAACTAGCATAACCTTATTTTTCTTTTTTAACAATTTCATTGATAGAACATTTGTTCTTATAGATCTTAGCAACCTCATCATACCATTTGTCCTTTTCTCAGTAAGTTGAGAATTTTCACATTTTTACTTAAAGAAAACATTATGTGGCTTCTCTTTAGCATATCTAAACTACCAGCATCATTACTCTTGCTCTTTGAGGCCATTATTAAGTAAAATAAGAGTACCTTGGTCACAAGCACTGCAATACCACAACAGTCAATCTGATAACTGAACAGGCTACTAATTGACTAATGGGCAGGCAGTGTATACAGTGTGGATTCATTAGACAAAGGGACAATTCAGGTTCTGGAGTGGAATGACATGAGATTTCAAAACACTACTCAGAATAGTGTGCAATTTAAAACTACTTAACTGTTTATTTTGGGAATTTTCCCATTTAGTATTTTTGGACCGTAGTTGACTGTGGGTAACTGAAACCACAGAAAGCAAACCTATGGATAAGGAAAGCTACTGTACTGAAATCAGTTTCTTGACTAACCCACAGTGAGACCAGAAAATGTTTCAAACAAGCTCCACTTTTTCCCTTGTATCCTGAAGAGAAACTAAAAAGTAAGTTGCCTTCCACCCAATATGCCATGTCACCCTTGGATGGGGATGGTACCAGAGCAAGCATAAATGCTATGAAATTTCCTCCCAATTTGAATGTGGCTTTTTCTTGGTTGGTCATTTGCTTGGTTGTTGTATATGTTTCCAGAACTCTCACAAAGTTATTTTAATCAGTCTGTAGTTGTTTATTTGATGTTCCCATGGAGGAATGAGGGTCTGGAGCTTCTTAATCTGCCCTTGTGCTGACATAGCAGAAGCTACTGTTGTCTGGATTTATTTAATTTTAAATAAAATATTTGAGGTTCCTGTGTTTTTCTGAGTAGTAGTTTTTCTGCAAAACTATTTTGTAACAATTTTAATTTGAG